CACCACGCCCGGCTAATTTTTGTATTTTTAGTAGAGGCGGGGTTTTACCATGTTAACCAGGATGGTCTTGATCTCCTGACCTCGTGATCCGCCTGTCTCGGCCTCCCAAAGTGCTGGGATTACAGGCGTGAGCCACTGCGCCCGGCCGCCTGGCTAATTTTTGTATTTTTAGTAGACATGGGGTTTCACCATATTGGCCAGGCTGATCACGAACTCCTGACCTTGTGATCCACCTGCCTCGACCTCCCAAAGTGCTGGGATTGCAGGCGTGAGCCCCCCAACCCGGCCAGTAAACGTAACTTTTATATGCACTGGGAAACCAAAAAATGTGTGTGACTTGCCTAACTGTGCTATGTGCTTTATGGCAGTGTCCAAACTGCAATATCTCAAGGTATACCTGTCAGTGCTTTCCAAGCATATAAAACAAAATTAAATCAAAATGGAAAAACAGGTAATTCCTAAAAATGAAAAGCAAAATTAATTCATCAGCGTATCAAGTTGATGACAGCTACAGATACACATTACTTCAAGTAACACACCCTAAAGACAAAAGGAAGTGCAGGAAATAAATTTTAAGAAATACAGAGAGGTAGATGATTGATAGATTAGATAAATAAATACCCCTCCCTCTTTCTTAGATTGCTGCACACTAAAAGGTTTTTTTTGTTTGTTTTTTCTTTTTCTGAGAAGTCTCGCTCTGTTGCCTAGGCTGGAGTGCAGAGGCATGATCTCGGCTTACTGCAACCTCCACTTGCCAGGTTCAAGCGATTCTCCTGCCTCAGCCTCCCAAGTATACAGGCACACGCCACCATGCCCGGCTAATGTGTGTATTTTTAGTAGAAGCAGGGTTTCGCTGTGTTGCTCAGGCTGGTCTCAAACTCCCGACCTCAGGTGATCTGCCTGCTTCGGCCTCCCAAAGTGCAGGGATGACAGGCGTGAGCCACCACGCCTGGCCTATTGTGAATAATGCTGCTGTGAACGTGGGTGCATACACATCTCTTCAAGACACGTTTTCATTTGTTTTGGGTATATCCCCAGAAGTGGAATTGCTGGATCATGAGGTAATTCTATTTTCAATTTTTTGATTTTTTGTGGAAGTGCCACAGTGTAGGCTGTTTGCTTTTAAACGCAGTGTTTCTCAGTCCTGTCCCTACTGCCGTCTGTTACCAGGGTAGAGAATTTGACGTGTGCCCATGGGTGGCCATGGCACCATGACACTGTCCACCTGGACGGAGAGCTGGGCCGGGCCTTGCGTCCGGGCCTTCTCCTGGCTCTCTGTGCATCTCCCATAGCACCCGCTTCATAGAAGTTGCTGCCACGTTACTTGGTGCGTGGGTACCTGTGACTATTGGGACAGCAGCCTCTAGGATTGTGGCCTGTCCTCCTGTTCGCCTGTCATTCTCCCTTGTGATGATGGCAGCCCTGTCCTCTTTTGTCTGCCTTTGGCAGCACGCCTGTCAATGCCTGTTCTTCCTGCCCGGGGAGCCCTTCTCACTGTGCCTTTGTGGCGTCGAGTCGGTTTTGGTGTGTGAGCTGGCGCCAGCCTACAGCTCTCATGGAGAGCGGAATTAAACCCATTCGGCTCAACACGACAACACGGGCTGGGCATGCAGGCCTCCATGGCCCCTGGAGAGGGTCTGCTTCCCTGCCTTTTCTTTGGCTTGTGTTTTCACTTTGGTCTTTGCTAAGGTTCAGATTTGGGGTCAGGCTGAGTGTTTGGGACACAGGCTAGTCACCGAGCAGGTTTGTTCCCTCGCTGCCTGCTTCACCAGTTGCTGATGTTGCATCATCCCCC